CTATAACCCCAGGAATTAATTTAAATATCCCGGACGAGGCCCCACGTGTTGGGCAAGGCCAAGTCCGACCAGTGGAAGCTAAGGTTGCTGCGGTGGCTGAATGTGCGGTGCCTGTCACCAGGAGTGACCTCCGCCATTTTCTCGGTATGGCAGGCTACTACCGCAGTTTCTGCCGTAACTTTTCCACTGTAGCCCAACCCCTGACTAATTTGATAAGTCCCAAGGTGGACTACGTTTGGACCCCTGAGTGCCAACATGCATTTGAGTGTGTAAAAACACTCTTAAGTCACGCTCCTGTGCTCGCTGCTCCCGATCTTGCTAAGCCCTTTACACTTGAGGTGGATGCCAGTGCAGTGGGGGCCGGTGCTGTTCTACTGCAGGGGGATGCGGATGGAGTTGATCATTCTGTCTGTTATTTCTCCCGTAAGTTCAATAAGCACCAGGTCCGGTATTCTACCATTGAAAAGGAGACCCTTGCTTTGTTGTTAGCTCTCCAGCACTTTGAGGTTTATGTCGGATCCAGTTCTTTGCCGGTTGCAATGTTTACCGATCATAATCCCATCGTCTTCTTGTCCCGCATGTACAATCACAATCAGCGTCTCATGTGGTGGGCTTTGATCGTTCAGGACTACAACCTGCAAATCCGACATAAGAAGGGTTCAGAGAACGTGTTTGCAGATGCTTTGTCCAGACTGTAATTCTGTGTGTGTGTGTGTGTGTGTGTGTGTGTGTGTGTGTGTGTGTGTGTGTGTGTGTGTATGAGCTGCGCAGTTCTCCTGATGCCATTGGCCGTCCCGCCCTTGCAACGCGTCGGAAAAGGAGATTGGAGTGACGTCATCCAATCCCCGCCCGCTTCCGGAACGTCATCCGGGGGAGGAGTACAGAGGACGGGGACGAAGATCATTCTGGAGGCTCTGTGTTGATAGACAGACGCCTCTAGCCTCTTGATACATTACTCGTTGTGTTCGTAAATCTTCTGTACTTAGTTAGGCTGCTTAGCGAGTGTTAAGTAGTGTGTGGTGTTAGTATTGTGTTAGCTTAGACCCAGGTAGATTAGCACCTGTTGATCAGCTGTTAGTATTAGTGTAACATGTGTCAGTTTAGACCCAGGTAATTTAGCACCTGTTGACCAGCTGCAGCCAGGCCCGGACTGGCCATCAGGAGCACCGGGAGGTTTCCCGATGGCCTGGCCTGAGGATTTTTTTATGTATGTATTGTGAACGCAGCGCTGCGCAAATGTGGGTCTGACTCTGCCTCACAGAGGGTGACTGGCTGTACATGATGTGGCCTGCCGACATGGCCACTTTCATACAGACCATACACTAATGCCCTCGATTGGTCTCTGTGTGTCATTCAAGCTCGGGAGGGTGTGTGTATGTGTGGCGCGAGCGAGAGAGAGAAAGCGCGCGCACCGGTTACGTGTAGGCTATTGTTGTTGTTAGCATCTGGTGCTAGCTAGCTGCGCTAACGGATATAAGGAGCTGTTTCAACAACAAGGTGGAGGAGAGTCCTCTCCTGTCAGACTGAGAGACTGATAACTACAGCTCAGGTGAGGTAAAGGACTCTGCTGAGTGTTTAGATAGTTAACTTAGTTCTCAGTGGGTCTCACGGTTTGGTCACCATTCATGTAAACACATATTTCCATTTGAGGGGGGAGTGAGATAAACTTTGAAAACTTGTTGAGAGCTAAAACTAGTCTTTGCTGCTGCCTCAAATAGGAGCAGGAGTGAGAGGAGGGAGATAGGAGAGGCTGATTCAGGAGCACAGACACACACACAACTATAAATGAACCAAAAACAAATAAATAAACAAGTTTCAATGTTTTTTCATATTGGATATGGTATGTTATTGGTTATGGCCATGTTCTTATGATTTTATGATTATTTAAATGTATACAGTTCTGTTTCATATAGGTGTAGTCTCTCTCTTTATTTCCCCCTCAAAATGCACCAGATTGATGCATTTAAGTCCAACATTTAAAAACAAATCTTACCGGACCCCCCTATAGGATTTGAGGTCCACCCCCACTTAAAATATGTTCACATGAATAGGTTCCTAAATAGATTTGCATATTTTTTTAAATAGTAACCCATCTCCATATGTTTATTTTTTTGGTAGTAGATTTAGAGGGCTATCACTATGGGCAGCAACGCTGTAAATATTGACAAATAAATCCAGCAAAATGCCACAAAAAACTGGTAGTGGCCTGGCTGGGTGTATAATTCCCGGCCTGACTTATTGTCCCAGTCCGGGCCTGGCTGCAGCTGTGTGTGTGCAGCCTTTCTCACTTTCATTTGTACCACGTTTAACGTGAGGTTTTGTTTTCTCCTTTAAATATTACATTGGATAAGCTTTATAACTCTCTTTTGGAGTTCTCTTTTTGTTGATGGTTAGACCATCCGTTTTGGCATATTTGGTTCGTTTCAGGCTGCTTGCCTGCCTTTTGTTACCACCTGTTGTAATAAAGCCACTTATAATTGTTACCAATTCCACTCTGGTCGTGTTGCTTCCCTTTGGTTCCCCTAGCCCAATAGGGAACGTAACAATATTCATATATACTGGAGCTTAAATTAAGAAATATGTACTATATAATGTGATCAATAATAATTTAAAACAAACTACGTAGGCCTATAACTACCACATTATAACTGAGTGAATGTAAAATGTAAGTATGCAGTTATGAAGACATATCTGACATTATCACTGGGTGACTAATTTCAATTGATGTTGACACCATCTAACAACACTCCTAAAATAATATTACTTTCTGAAGCACAATTTAAAATGTATGCTGTTTAAAATATCAAATTAGATATATTGTCCATCTATATTTTGATTATTATTTAATTGGATATGTTAATGATATATTGACGGCAAAACTCAAAATGTCCCCGGTTTTAATTTTGAAAATCTGGTCACCTTAGTGTAAAGCCAATATTTCCTATGTTCTCCTTAACATAGATTCCTAGTTATTTACTTTTAACCTATAGCAGCTTTACAAAGCACTCACTTGATTACTGTACTTAAAGGGAGGGTATGCTCATGACACACATTTTTAAATAATTATAATCCGATAAAACAGACCAGTCTCTGCCAGTCTTCTTTTTTTTTTTTTTTAATCCGATGATGTTATCAGTGATTTTAAACTGATTAATTACCGAAATAACATCAACCCTGTGGGCGGCGCCATTTTGACGAGTCACATGACTTATTTTACCGGAAGTGACGTGAACTATGCGTTTGGTGTCGAGGACAAATTGACGTATGTGCTTTGTTCATGTTGTTTACTCTAGTTACTCTCTCAATTCTATAGAACTATGCCTCATTGTATCGCGAAACATTGCCACAATTCGGATAGGAACAATCCACGGAATGCTCGGTTCCATCTATTGCCAACGGGTAAGCGTAGGAAGTACGTTCGGAGGCAGTGGCTAGCGAAATGTGCTCGGCCCGAACCGAAAGATCCACAGGCGCATGTATGCAGCGAACATTTCAAGTTTCCGGACGACTACTCTGAGAGTATGATGAAACATAAAATGGGATTTATTAATCAACCATTACTTAATGGGGATGCAGTGCAATGCCAACCAGCGTAAGCACATTACGCTGCAGACTTTACTTATTGTTTACTACGTAAGGAAGCAGGAATTGCAGGACCCAGAGCGCACGGAGCACAGAGCGGACAGCAGATAACGGAATTGCAGTTTTATTGCTTATAGATTATCAGAACATTTCAAAGGGGACACAGTCACATTGGATATTAACCTATGGATTAACTACATCATCGTTTTTATCGTTGTAATGCCATTGAAGACCAGTTTAGACCAGACAAAGACCAATGTAAGCCATGTTAGCCTAGCGCTACTTGTTTTGATGTACGTTTTTGTTAAAAACGTCGCGAGTTTGTATCTTTCAGTGTTGAGGTGAGCACGGTTAGATTCTGTGTCTTTACGATCATAAACGATGTGCAGCTAGGATAAGTAATAAGGAAGCTAGGAGTGATTTTCGGTGCAGTAATAGGTTAGCATTTTTCGCTCGGGGCTAATTCAGAGGCTCACTGTTAGCATTGTGTGTTTTTTTTGAAGAAAAAAATGAAAAAGATCAGTTAAATTAGTTTTTTTCCCCCTTATATGATTATAAAAATATTCATAGTTTATTAAATATTAAGGTTCCTTAGACGTTGTTTCCTGCAAATGTTTTTTTTACAGTTGTATTTGGATGGAATGAATACCTATAGTGATAATTCAAAGTAAGTCCGCCTGGACTTTATTTTTCTAAACTTCTTCCTCGGCTGACGAGTCCGAACTCAAATACTCCGCCATGTTTTCGTCGTGTGTTTACAAAGTGAACGCATAGATGACGTCACGACCTAGTTTTTCCGATCATGTGACTACTGAAAATGGACAAAATGGCAGCTGCCTGACGGAATATACAGGTTTTGATAAAAAAGAGCTATAAAATCATTATTTACCGGGGAATATCGCTGATTTCTTCAGGGTATGGTTTAAACATAATGTTTCACTAAATACTGAAGTTTTGATTAACTATCTAATGACTGGAGCCTCCCTTTAAGTACAATTCTGAGATAATTATATTTTCTATTTCCAAATCCTTCTGCTTTATACTTCTACACCACTACACTACAAAAGCAAATGTTATTATTTGTACTCCAATATAGCCAGCTAATAACTTTAAGATTGAAAGTATAAATGTGATCAGCAAATATTTTCTTGAAATCAATTCACAAGGTGGCCGTGCTCTTGATCAGCTTGCCTTGATTAAAGTCTTAACCTTTGACAAATATACTGTTTAAAATCTTCACTATCACCTAAAAAGAATTAGATTTACAAATCTATTGTATTTGCTAATGCACTGCGCAACAACACATTATGTGGGTAGCTTAATTCACATGAGATACTGTATTTACTCTTATCCTGTGTGACATAAATCCACATAACAGTATGTGAAACAAGTCAAGAAATGATTTCACGCTCAAATAGTAGCATTGCTAATTGATTCCTTTTTATTGCTTGACATTAATTATTCTTAAATTAATAATACAGTTCATTAATAACTGATCAAAGCAACAAAACAAACTCACACTAATATAATATAATAATAATGATTTTTATCTTTATGAATATTCTGTAAGGTTATATAAGTTGTTTAGGATAATCAACAAAAGTCTTCGATTACTACCCAAGGCTGAATTATTATTGCGTTTTATAAATTATGTCATGTTTTGACAAAACATATGGTGATGATTAAATCAAGTGCTCCCTATGTCATGTACTTATCTAGAGAGGCTTATTTGTTGTATTCTTGATTAAAAGATGATATAATTGCACTGTTAAGGTAGCCTATAAAAATCCCTGATTGAACACTATTTGAGGTGTTTGGCTAACAATTATTAAAAGGACAATCTGAAGGGACTGATAATCATTACAATATTTGGCTCTACAGAAGCTCCAATTAGTAAAACGTATCAGAAATGTAATCTAAAGTGAAAGGCGCAGAGACACGCGAGCAGCAGTGAGATGGAGACAGGGGCTCTGGCTGCTGCTGCGGTGGTGTAGACGGTCCTGCCGTGAAGACCCTGCGCACTCCGAAACACGTTGTGATATCCTGTCTCCTTCGGAAACATCATCATCTGGTGAGGGAAAGGAAAGTGTTAGCTTTGGTTTAGCTACTGTAAAGGTGGCAGGGCTCGAGCTTAAGAACGTCCCGTCGTCGAAAAAAATAGTGTCGGGGAGGATAAAAAATAATTTTGGGACGAGAGTTAAAATAAAAATACCCTGCTAACCAGTGGCGGCTGGTGGAAAATATTTTTGGTGGGGCTGTTGATATAGTGAGTAAACACATTTTTTTTGTGAGAAATTACTCCTTAAATTAGGACTTCTGGTGATGTAATGACGCGTTTCCAGTGCAGCGCGGAGCTCGCTTTAATGCTGCGTTCAGACCGGACGCGATGCGAATATTCGCTTCGCTCTAAACGCTCCTATCGCATCGCTCTAGTCGCTCGAGTTTCACCGCGGCTGCCAGCTGTGTTTACTCGCATCATTCAAACAAGACGCGCTGGCTCGGGAGCTACAACTACAACAAAATGAACATATTTTACCGTGATTAAATTGTAATACACGTTTCTAAATGATGCCGACGTAACAACATACTGATACCGGTTTGTAAAAACCATGAATTAATGCTTTGACAAGTCTACAGACAGACGGCAGGCGAAAAACCTTTTAGAATGCTTGTTTTTTGAATGGAGCCTGTACGGTGGCCGGCAGGTGCAAACGCGGAACAACGGCCAAAAACAAATACATTAGCAGGAAACAGCTGCAAATCCTGAAATGAAAAACAAACAAATCCTGAAAACAAATACAACCAAAAAACGCTGCATTTACAGAAATGATGCAAACTAAATACAACACACAAACCCCCGAAAACAAACGCAACAAAAAAAAAGCTGCAAATATCAAAACGACATGCAAAGTCCAAAGCACACACAAATCCCAAAACACATACAAAAAACAAACATTCCGGAAGTGCTCCAGGCCTCTAGGGGGCGCGCTACGTGGAACAGATTGATGTCTGACTAGACATAGAGAGAACGAACAAGAGTGCTGCAAATTGAAGCCGGAGGAAACAAAGTTGATCGAAGTGGAGAAAGTTGATATATAAGAAGGTAAGTTTTGTTTTGATACAAATAGCGTCATATTTAACCAGCTAGCGTTAGCTTGTTTGGTAAAAGAGCTTGCAAGTCAAGAGACAGCATTGTGCACCTAAATGTAACTCTTGACATCATATAGATATATTATAGGTGCCCCAATGTAAATCCTAATGTGAGAGTTAAAGGACGCTCCACAATATAATGTACCTTGGTCAGTTTGGATTTATCGTGGCATTTATTCTGAATTAAAGTGAATTAATTTTATTTCAGTCAGTCATTTGTGTGTATGCAGGTGTGGGACATTCCAAATGTTCCAAAAGTGAGCACTCCACGAATGGACAACAGTTTGCCAGGGTAAAATAAAACATTGTCAACATATTATTTTATGCCACAAGAAGCAGAATGTTTTAACAGTACAGTAGTTTGAATATTTTTGTTGTTTACCTTTATCAGACCTCTCCGGCACCCACAACCAGCGTCTGATCGGGTAAGACTAATTAAAATGTAATTATACCATGTAGGTTTTAATTTGTGAACATGAAATCAATAAATACCTTTGTGTGCACTTATTTCCTGGGTAAAAATAGGATGGAGCACCAACCCCATTCCAGGAAGAGGTCCAGCCTGCCCAGGGTCAGAAACACTTCTATAGGTAAACGATGTTGCACAGTTGCAATCGTGACCACAGTTGTTTGCTGTGTATCTTTATTTTACATTGGTTTGTTTGTATAGCCTCCAATCACAGTGGGTACATTGACAGAAGCAGAACAATTATACTTGTACATTTCCAAATGGCACCCACAACATCTTAGTGAAGACGATACAAAAAGGATCGACATCCTTTTGTAAATATGACTGTCATGCATACATTATGTATTTGAAAATAATTATTCAACTGTCTTCTCACTACAGCAACTACACAAATGTGTATGCAGTCTGAGCCAGAAGACAAAATGGAGTAACGGTATTAATTAGGGATGCACGATAATTATCGGCCCGATAATTATCGGTCCGATATTAGGAATTATGACGTCATCCCGATAACCCGATACCAGTATTAATAGCCCCGATAATATACAATATATTTTTTTGGGTAAAAAAAAAAGGAAAAAATACTGCGGTGTGGGTGGATTGGGATGAGGGGCGCTTGTTTTTCACTCGGCTCCTCCCGTTTTGCCAGTACTGTGGTATTAGTGGTTTAGGAAGAGGGGAGTTCTTCACAAATCCAGCGCTCCCTAACTCATGCCTGGCTGTGACGTAAATGGTGTGCGGCCGTGAAGCCAGGACAGTAAACAAACATGTTGTCGGTGGTATGGGCGTTGGAGCTATGTGCAACTCAAGGCATATGCTCGAACCGGAGCTGCCTGGACGCTGCAATCATGTTGCGCACTATCCGTGCTGAGTGTGCTGACTTTTCGTACAATGTCCCACTGTCTGGCTTCCTGCATAAAGTGCTCAAGTGCTCGGCGCAGTTGTGGCGAAATGTCGCTCCTCTGTTTTCATTTAAACAGCTCCTTATATCCGTTAGCGCAGCTAGCTAGCACCAGATGCTAACAACAACAATGCACGTAAGGTCTCTCTCTCGCTCACTCGGGCCACACATACACACACCCTCCCGGTCCTCCAGATGGCCAGTCGGTGCCTGCCGGTGAGCGTGGAAGTGTGGTCTGCCACAAGCGGGCGGCAGGAGCGGGGCTGTCAGCATCAGCTTGTAGATGGTATTTTAAACTCGATGCGCTCTGAAACTACGGGGCGGCCAGGAAAAAGAATACACATGCGTTAATCGCGTTAAATAATTAGTGGCGTAAAACATTTTTGGTATCGGTCTTGAGAAGCAGGAAGTTATCGGTATCGGTTTCAAAAAACCAATATCGTGCATCCCTAGTATTAATTGTTACTATTACCACTTAATTTGTCTATTCTATACTGTAAATCTTATTATAGCTTCATCATTTAATATTACAATACATCACTTTGTCTTTCCCAGCACAGAACATCTGACTGCAGAGGACATTGTTGCAAAACTCTCTGCAAAAATAACAAATACATCTTGCAGCAGGTTCAATATGAATAGAGCCAATGTGTGGGGATGGAGCAATCCGCGGCTTCAAAGGTGCCTCATTCGATCCCTCTCATGAGATGTCAGTTAAGTTCAATGATGATGAGGGGACACACTGAGGATGGAGGGGACACTGGTGGGTCCCAAGCGTGAGTTCCTGACCCTCCTTATGGAATGCCTGAGAATGCGAAGAAAACATCACGTCAGCAACTGTTTGTGCCCCATGGCGGTGTGACTTTCCCAGCCGCTCACCGTCTCAAAATCTGATTCTAAATGTATAATGTTCTCTATAAAGATAGAACTAATACACAATTATGAATGTATAATATAAGCTGTTTTGTGTATTTAATCATCCAATTTAATGATGGCTTCTACATATTTCACATAAACAGAAAATGACAAAATGTGTCCTTCATGCTGATAACTAGTGATACGCATCTGCCAATTAGTATTCTAAACAGAATAGTGTGTTGAATCCTTATTTCTTGCATTTGAAACAGATACAATAAAAAAAAAGTGAACTTACTGTTGTGTTCAACTTCTGCCAAAAACTGTACATTTTTGCCACAGGAGCCACAGAACACTTGAACTGTCCCCAGATGATGGCCACAGAAAGGACAAAACATGGCGGCCTGAAAATACATACATTGATGTAGTAAATCCATGTAATCAAGTCAATCAAAAACACATAGTCTAAATTAGCTAAATAAATAGAAAGATACATCATGTTTACCGTTGAATCTGTGTTCTCTCTCTCTCCTTGAATGTCTTCTCTATATTTGTTCTTGAGCATGTCTAATGCACACTACTCTCCTGTCATTACTTTGTCCCTCTTCACATGTTGTCACTTCTCTCTCTCTCTCAATTCAATAGCTTTATTAGCATGACCATAGTTACAGGTAATTGCTAAAGCTCTGTATAGTTGCAACATCTATACACAAATACATACATATAAACAAACTGCTAAGAATTCAAATGTCCTTTTTCCGCGGTACTCACTATGGCCCGTGTTATTTGCCTGCACTTGATTTGTCAACTCTTTTAACAATGTTCTTCCCTCACTTTATCTTCTCTTCACGTGAAGCTCTCCTCAGCTAGTGTAGTAGTTAGGCACGCTAACGCTAGCTATATAAATATGACGCTCTATGTATAAAAACAAAACTTACCTTCTTATATCTTTCTCCACTTAAATTAACTTTCTTTCCTCCCAATTTCCATCAGTCTTGTTCGTTCTCTCTATGTCTGGTCAGACATCAATCTGTTCCACGTAGCGCGCCCCCTAGAGGACTGGAGCACTTCCGGAATGTTTTAAAAAAAAATGTGTTTTGGGATTTGTACATGCTTTGGACTTTGCATATCATTTTGGTATTTGCAGCGTTTTTTTGTTGCGTTTGTTTTCGGGGTTTGTGTGTTGTATTTAGTTTGCATCATTTCTGTAAATACAGCGTTTTTCTGTTGTATTTGTTTTCAGGATTTGTTTGTTTTTCATTTCATTATTTGCAGGTGTTTCCTGCTTATGTATGCATTTTGGGCCGTTGCTCCGCGTTTGCACCTGCCGGCCACCGTAAGCTTGGCTAAGCTAACGTTATATATGCTCCGACCGTCCACACTCACAACAACGGCCTATACAGACATAAATAAACCAGCGACTGTATTCTCCATGACACAGACAGTCTGTGGTTTGTATTTGTGTAACTTTTGTCTAGTTTCTGAACAGATCGTATCTGTCCCCGGCTGTTTGAAGAGCAAGCATGGGAAACAAAAGATAGCATTTACCTGTTTGCATCGTTTGCATCCAGCTAGCCATGTGAGAAGCCTCGTTGATACGTTTTGTCTTTTTCACGAGCTTGCTGTGATATATACAAATCGGATTGGTCCGGTCCAAGGTCTTTAAGTATCAATTTATCTCCCAAACTTCTCCTTTGGAAAGGATTAGAGAGTAGCTCTTGCACGGAATTGGGTGCGGACCTAGGTCCGCCGACTCCACCTGCACACCATTCTCATCCAACTACTGCGTCACCTTGGTCACTCACGAGTCTAAAAAACAACTCACGTCAACGCACGTAAGCAACGTGGGCGCCAACGTGACCGCCCTCGTGACCAAAATATTTGACAGCGCTGATTGGCTGAAATTATGTTTCGGCGGCACAGTTTACTATTGAGACTTTTGCAACGTGCTGGTTGCTGCTGTTTGGCTCGGGGGCTCCGCCCGGTAATGATAAACTAATGCCATGGGCAAGGCCAGGCAGGAAACATGTGACTTATCAGTAACTTTAGACATCGTAACACAATTTTAAACGAGATTTTATTGTAGATTATACATTTTAGTGATACCAATTGTATGGTATTTACCTTGTTCATTAAAAATAAAAATATAAAATATATATATTTTTTAAATATATATTTTTAAATTTAATATTTTTTTTAATATTTTTTTTTGTATGTGGGAAGAGGTGGGGCGGCGCCCCTAGCGCCCCTATGGGCCGGCCGCCACTGCTGCTAACTCTACTACAAACGGCGATGAAAATGAAACCGACTGCACGTTTTATGTAGCACACAGTTATTAAACCTCCTTGTCAACATAAACGCACACGCACAAAACATTTAGAAACCCGTGAAATACACACACACGTAGCTACAGCTGTGCCGCTGGCTGTCAGCCAGCCGCCCAGCTGGCTGTGCCAGCGAATTCCTGGCCCGCAAATTCGCGGGTCTAGCTATGTACTGAGTGTGTGTATTTCGCGGGTTGAGTGATGTACAATGGCATCTCGTGGAGGAATTGAAATGTTTTACCGTTACATCACAAATACGCACAGCAGAACCAGACCCTGGAGCACCGGCCTCTTTATTTACTTACTCCTCTTCATCCCCTATGGGTAATAAGGCTGAGATGAGAACTCTCCATCGTATTTAGTCCTTAGCAATATGCTGCGCCTCTCCCCATGTAGGGATGGGTACCGAGCCCCGGTATTAAACGGGCCCCGGGCCGGAATTATTAAAGACAGTGGTAACGTTAAACTCCGACGTTATCGGACTTTTTATCGGTACTGGAGACATTTAAAAAATATATGTCATATGTATTATTGCTACATACACATTAGGCCTATATCGCAGTTTTAGTTTCACCAACTCCGTTTCTAATATGCAATAAGACTACAACATGCGTCTATGATGTATTTTCGAGTTTTCCAATCCAGACGAGATCTCTCTCCCGTCTGTGTGCGAGGGGGCGGGGCAGTTTGTAAAGGTCTCCTGACTGTGTTACAGACTGTCCTCCTGGTTAGTGGTTACTCTGGGTTCTGTCTTCAGGACACAGTGTTGGATTTTTTTGTGAATTGGATGGGACTTGATTGGATTCAATATTAGAGTAATTTTCTCATTTGTGTGTTTGTTTAAATATATTTGGCCTTTGTTTATGTGATTGAATGATTTACTCAAATAAAAAAGTTGATGAATTATCATCTAATGATTTGTATGATGTTGTATTTATGTTAAAGGTCACTTTGAATGCTTTTAACTAATGATAATGTAGAAAAACTTACATTTCAAATTCGGGACGGCTTAGATTGTATTTCGGGACGGTTCCGGGAAGATGGGGAAAAAAGTTAGTCCAAACCATCTCAATTGGGTTCAGGTTGGGTGATTGAGGATGCCAGGTCCTCTGATGCAGCACTTAGTCAAATAGCCCTCACATAGCCTGGAGGTCTGAGGTCATTGTCTTGTTGAAAAACAAATGATTGTCCCAGTAGGCGCAAACTAGATGGGATGGCATGCTGCTGCAGAATGCTGTGGTAGCCATGCTGGTAAAGTGTGCCTTGCATTTTGAATAAATCACCAACAGTGTCACCAGCAAAGCTCCCCCACACCATCACACTTCCTCCTCCAGGCTTCACGGTGGGAACCACTCATGAAGAAACCATTCAAGGTTCAAGGCTTTTATTGGTCATACATACATAGCTACAGTGTAGTTATGACGATGAAAATCTTAGGTCACAGGCTCCTCCAACAGTGCAACACAATAAAACAGAAATAAATAGTGCAAGTAAATTCGATCACCCTCCCTGCATCTCAAAAAGAAATGTTGACTCATCAGACCAAAGTACTTGAGGATACATTCAAAGTTCTTGAAATGTTCCGGATTGACTGACCTTAATTTCTTAATGTGATGATGGACTGTCGTTTCTCTTTACTGAGATGAGTGGTTCTTGCCATAATATAGATTACACCAGTAGTCAAATAGGGCTACCCACTGTGCACTAACCTCTGCCTCTGCACAACACAACTGATGGTCTGAGACACATAAAGAAGGCAAGTAATTCCACAAATGGACTCTTGACAAGGCACACGTGTTAATTGAAAACCATTCCAGGTGTCGACCTCATGAAGCTGACAGAGAAGCCAAGAGTGTGCAAAGCTGTCATCAAGGCAAAAGGGGGCTACTTTGAAGAGTCTAAAATAAAAATCATATACTGGATTGTTTAACACTTTTTTTGTTTACTAGATAATTCCATGTGTTATTTTATAGTTGTGATGCCTTCAGTATTAATCTACAAAGTAGAAACAACTTTAAATAAACAAAAAACATTGAATGAGAAGGTGTGTCCAAACTTTTGATTGGTACTGTACAAAGAATACTAATATGTTATATTGTTGTAGCTTAGATTTCACACCATTGGATTTCAAATTAAACACTGACTGGCCTTTGAGTGATGGCGTTCAGAACTGTTTGGGTAAAGAGTGTGAGCATAACCTCACATGTTGAATATAAAAACACGAGGTTTTTGCAGGAGCGGAATTGAATGTTCTTATGTGACCTTAATCAAAATCTAAACACCAAAAGTCTGCGACACAAGCAGGAAATGAAGATAGCACAGATGAAGAAGATACCAAGTGACTCATTGACATCTGCAGCAAACAACTGCAAAAGATAAACAAATGTGATGACTTCAAACGGTAAGTGTGTCCTATTAACAAATCCAACAATAAATTGATATTACAGTTATTGTTTCTGCATTCAAGGTTGATCCCAAATGGTAAATGGACTGTATTTATATTTGTATATAAAGTGCTTTACATACTACGCGTCATCAGTCAAGCATTCATACCTCATTCATAAAGAGCAAGGAGCCATTTTCACACCAGGAGAATCTGGGGTTAAGTATTTTGCCCAAGGACCAATGGACATGTTGACTCAAACTCACAACCTTCTGACTTAAGGAGTGGACGACCACACTACATCTACAGTATTATCTCACTGCCTTACTAAACTAAACTTGAATGCCATCTTATCATCACGTTAGCTGCCATTAAAGGTTTGACTGGTGCTCTTGTCATCTTGTTGCTCGATTGAGCACATTCAATTCGGGCAACATTTGAATACTTGGAAAATCTAGGTAGTGCCAAAATTGATTGGGAAGGACTTTGGGATTTGTTGACAATAAGAACATAGAGCACCTCAAGCCTTATTTTTGTGAGAAATAACAAATAGTAAACTAAACCTAAACTACATCTGAGTTTTAAACTATTTAATCAGTGTTTGTTTAGTTTCCAGTCATGTTACAATGTGCGTAACAGATGTGACAATTTGATTAGCTTCTTTGTTTTGTCACATCAGAGAATCCTCACAACAATGCATTTCATTATTATCTACGTCCCCGAAGAACATTAGTCATTCTTATCTTGTGACGTTGAGTAACCCCACTTCCATTACAGAAACTATTTGAATCTCATTTTATACTTCTGCTAAATGTTAATGGTGTTAGAAACCCTGTTGATACATAAAAACGGTCCATATATAAATCTTAAGATTCATTTTTAGTTCTGGGGATAAGAATTATGGTTGAGTACTGTTTCATGGATTATTGCTATTATGTTTTTATGCAAAGTTATATTCCACCACTTATGCCCAGCGGTGGGAGAAGTAGTCAGAACTTGTACTTAAGTAAAAGTAGAAGTACAAGAGTATAGGAATACTCTGTTACAAGTAAAAGTCCTGCATTCAAAGGGTTACTCAACTAAAAGTGAAAAAGTATCAGCATCAAAATACACTTAATGTACCAAAAGTAAAAGTAGTCATAATGCAGATTGGTCCATTTTAGAATATTATATATGATATGTTTTGATTATAGATATTGATGCAAGTGTTATCAAAGCTTGTAAAGATGTAGCTAGTTTTAATCACTTTGTGCAGCGTAGCTTGTGAATTTACTCCAGGTGTAACTAAAGTCTGATTTAAGTGTTGGGTATATTTCACATCATTATTCCAAATATGTAGTAACTAAGAGTGCTAAATAAATGTAAAAGTACAAGATTTTCCTCTGAATTGTAGTGGGGTAGAAGTACAAAGTAGCATAACATGGAAACACTCAAGTAAAGTACCTCAAAATTGTACTTAAGTACAGTACTTGAGTGAATGTACTTAGTTACTTTACACCACTGCATATACCCTTTATATTCAGCTGATGGTGAGTAGCACGTACCAGGGTTTCGTCCACCTTGATGGACTCTTTAAACACGGTCCAGACCACAGCTTGGTTACAGGAAGGCGTGGTCAAGGAGCCGTTGTAGCGATAGTATGACTCTCTGTTCACACTGCCAAGCAAGTCGTCAATGGAGATCTCTTCGGTGACGTTAACTTCTGAAACTGCATTGAAAACCAAAATGCCCAAGATGTAGTGCCACTTGTATTTTACGTAATGTATGCCAACAAAACAGGTGTGCACTCACTGATGTTTTTAATAGCTGAAAGATAGCTGGTGAGTTTTTTCAAGGCGTCCATATCAGATGAGGACTGTGTGTGCAGAGAAAAACATGGTGAATAAATAAGGAACATTTAATCAGAAGTAGCTAATTGGACCACAGTAGCACAATCTGCTGAAAGCTTCCATCTCTTACCGCGCCTTGTTCTGAACTGCTGCGGCTTTTTTCCTTTGCGCTTGTGGCCTGGAAACAAGCAGGTTAGTCTGTTGTGTAACTGGCTTTTCTCAATGTCAAATGTAGACACAAGAGAAAATAAAGCATTACTCCCAACGATAACATGAACTGGGAACCAACAGTAGAACTGACAACACAAAGTAGATTTATTTTTGCAGTTCATATTGACACAAATAAGGGTTTATTTTGTATTTTTATAGGGTGTGGATCATGACACCTGTGCAGGTATGCTTTAAATGCGAGCAGGTAGAGATAGTGACATTCTTGTATGCGATGCGGATATGTTTCAGTTAGTGAAATAACTTTTGATTGACAGCTCAATTAGCACGGCGTCCTTGAGCTCTCTTTTGTTTTCTAAAGGATTTTTATCTTGTTCAAATATTTCTCACCACCATATTTTTTGCCCACATTTATGTAATGCATTACATTGCTGGAGGCTGTCTATAAAGGGTGTCAGAGTAGTATGCATAACTTTGAGTATAGTTTTGTAACTTTTCCATTATGAAAATACTAGCAGATACAGAGTTTGTAAAGTATGGATTTGGACAAAAGAAGTGTAATGCGCTTAAGTTACCTCAATAAAGAATCCAAGCACAGCCAGACCATCAGTAGTTTGTAGTGCCTTTTCGAGAGTTAAATCTTTCCTCTTGTTCACTATGTGCATCTGAATAAAGACACAATTCATCAATAGAAAACAGGCAAAAGCTCAATCTATAAGAACACACTTCAATGCAATAACGTTTAAAAGCCTGACCTCCATTGGGTATCTCTTTGAATCCACTGTGTGCTCAGAGCCTTCAGAGTCATGCGCGCCCCAATGGAAGTGCAACTGAAGGGTGGAGAAGACGTGTCCCAAACCTCCACCTGAGACCTCCACACCCTCCTTCAGTACGCACTTCACTGGGAGTCAAATGAGAACACAGGTAGAAAGTGTTACATGTTTTCACAGACTTAAATGTGTTTTTCCTATTTAACTAACAATTTTTTAAATTGTTTGTATTCTTGACACTATTTTGTCAAATAATGAAATTATTTCAATGACAGGCAAAGGGACTTGATTTGTTAGGTGAAATGAAATGGTAAAAATAGCACCTTAAAGTTGCCCTATTATCATCTATATTTATCTGAAACCATTAACCAGTCATCTAAATTGTTGTATTTTGATAAATACTTGTATTAATGGTTGCAGCTATAACCCTCTTGAGATAGAGGTAACTAAAGCTTTAGATACGCTTTGGGATGATTAAAATAAATATAATAAAAGGCTGATTTATATGCAAACAGATTTAGCCCGAGCTTAATAATAATAATAAGTCCTTCTTTTGTGTCTAGATTCCATAAATGTCCACAGAAACAGCCAATAATAAGGGTGAACAAACCTGTGTGGCCTGTGTTAATGATTTTCTCGATGACATGTTTGTCGTCAAACTTTTCAAAGTGGAAAGCACCGAGTTTCTCCTCCTTCACGGCGCTGCTTTTCGCAATGTTGATGGGTGACTGGCTTTCCCCGGCGCAGTAGGCATTGGGCAGACGGCTCCACTCAGATTGTGTGTACTCTGGAATTCCAGGGGAACCAGTTCTATAACAGCATTATCACTTTAAAGCTGTCCACTCATCACATTTGTACATTTGCCCCTACATACCACAGTGATCATGATAGCACCATGGATGACCTGAAAAATAGAAGAACAGTCATGTTGAATATGTCAGTCTTAGATATTATGGGTCTTATATGTGTTTAATTTTACCACTCACTGGGTAAAGGAGTTGCAGGGGAAGCCAACACCTGCCGTCCGTTAAGAGCTTGTGTAGGTCGATAAACATTTCTGAACCCTGCCTTTTCGGGGAACTTCTGAATCTACCAACAGCACAAAAGAAACATAAATAAAGAGACTACATGGAGCGTGAGCCAGCAGGCCAGCCCCAATGATGGTTAGGTGAAACATCAATTGTGTCTCTTTACCTTCAAGCGAATTCAAAAGGTGTCATAAATAATTGCAAAGACAACCTGAGGGTGTAAAATGTAAACACTCCCTCGGATCTGGTCATGACAGCCTTGTCTCCACACGCCGCAGATTATGTAAAATCATATCCTTTTAAATCCACACCCCAAAATTGTGTCATTGTTAAACATGGGTTCAACCCTGGATGCCACATCAAGTCATTTGCCTTGAGGTGATTTATGAGGCGTTGCAAGTACTCTGCCCTGGAGCCACAAACGGTTTCCTCCATTCCAATCCAATCCACTTTATTTATATAGCGCATATTAAAAACAGAGGGTGTACCGAAGTGCTTCACAGCAAACATAACATTATAATAAAATATTACAATAATAGATAAAACCGGTTTAATTTTGGACAGGAGCCTCAAGTGATAAAAACTGGACTTAACCACAGAGTTTATCTGTTTATCCAATGTAAAAGCACTGTCAATGTTGACGCCCAGATTTGTGACCATGGGTTTTGCATACGGTTGCAGGGAACCCAGGTCAATTTGGTCCAAATATAATGACCTCCGTTTTGCTCTCATTTATGTTTAAAAAGTTTAGCGCCATCCAGGCCTTTATGTCATTAAGACAGTCAACCAGGGGCATCAGAGAGCTGGTGTTTTTTTTAGGGGTAGGTATATTTGGGAGTCGTCCGCATAAAGGTCGTAGGAAACGGCATGTTTTCTAAAAATTAGTTCAAGGGGGAGAAGGTATAAAGAGAATAAAATGGGCCCCAAAATAGATATTATCATAGCTATTTATTAGGTAGTTCTCCCTTTCACCTGTAAACAGAAGATTATACATTATACTTAAAACATAATGCTGCATCCACAAAATAACATAGATAAATGATGCTTAAAGTAATTCAACGTTATATCTATAGAGCGTTTCAAAACCTGACTTATAATGTACGTGAAAGGATGGACATTTTTTGCACTTGAAGGCTATTTAGTTCCACTTCATAAATATACATGTTGTTACATTTTAGACTACACCTTTAAATGATAAGGCAGTAAACAGTGTTCAAATTAATACTTTTATGAAGGATATAAATCTGATTTGTTGTTAAAAAGAATGGTTGCACTTCACGCGATCTTTGAGATTATTTTTTCCGATCATCATGCCCTCAAAACAGACTGGTATACGTGCAATTTGGGTCAAAGAGTCACGCACCTGCTCTTCCACCTGACAATGTGACATGTGCACCTGTTTATCTGCAGAGGGCCTGTCAGGTAGATCTTTAAAGATTGTGTGTCATTCTGAACATGTGACTCAACGATCTGTTTTTCTGTCACGCAGTCTGCACAGCTATTTACTCGGAGTTAGACCAAACCGATAAAACAAACCTGATTATCTCACATGATTATCAAAACAGGACTCTCACATGCACCTGTATATCCCAGCACCATGCAGTCTGGTGACGTTTCCCTGCATATATGGGTGGTCAATGATGTAACACAGGTTGCATGTGACTCCACTTGCAATAGGTCACTTTTTTTTAAATTAAATGTTGTTCGTATCCAGAACACAGAAATGAAACCCTTCCCATCCAGGATTTTGTACACAACTCAGAAGACAGCTGACGTTTTACCAGGGTAGAAACTGTGAGGCAGCAAGGAACCTGCTGACATCTTCCACACCCACTTTTGACATTGTATTACTTCTGTTTATCGCTCTCCTCCGCTGGCACTTTCGTTCACTGGTAAAGCAGATCAAAGTAGGAGCTAACTCTTAATGGGCCTTTCAGATTTAGGCTGTAATAGACATTCATGTACAACAATTTTCTTCCAGGATACAGGTCATGTATTTCTCCCCGCACTATTTTCTTATTAAAGTGCTGTCTACAAGATATTGTCCACACTTAATGTGCTATATACATTAAATACATGGTTGTTCTTATTGGACAGACACTAGTTAAATGTCAGATGGAGACACAAGGAAAACCCATAAATGATGTAATGCTATTTCTCTCCAACTGATTATCCAGGTTAATCTATTTGACACAGTATCTTTGTAAAGTGTCCATTCAGTGCATCGTCAAACACAGGCTGTTTTAAAAGGCACCTTAGAAGGCACTTTATCATGTTTTTATCTACAATAGGGGTATCCCAGATAACCCCTTTGCCGAGTTATTTTCTAACTACGGGTGCACCAAGAAGTGTATTTGAGGTTAAAGCTACAGTAGCCATTTTCGTCCACTTGGTGGCAGTATAAACAAGTTATGAACGCGGCAATGACAACATTGTTTGGCTTCTGTAACACTGGAAGTACATAATAGGCCCTTACGTCCCTCTCTCTGCTGACAGGGGCATGCAGGGCCGGACTGGGACAATAAGTCAGGCCGGGAATTATACACCCAGCCAGGCCACTACCAGTTTTCTTTTGTGCCATTTTCCTGGATTTATTTGTCAATATTTACAGCGTTGCTGCACGTAGTGATAGCCCTAAACTTTAAATCTACTGCCCCAGAATAAACATATGGACATGGGTTACTATTTAAAAAATGTTTGCAAATCTATTTAGGAACCTATCCATGTGAACATATTTTAAGTGGAGGTGGACCTCAATTCCTCTAGGGGGGTCCGGGGTCCGGGGGCATGCCCCCCCCCCCGGTAAGATTTTTTTTTTTTAAATGTTGGACTTAAATGCATCAATCTGGTGCACTTTGAGGGGGAAATAAAGAGACTACACCAGCGCCTGACTACACCCATATGAAACAGAACAGTATACATTTAAATAATCATAAAATCATAAGAACATGGCCATAACCAATAACATACCATATCCAATATGAAAAAACATTGAAACTTGTTTATTTATTTGTTTTTGGTTCATTTATAGTTGTGAGTGTGTCTGGCCTCCTGAACCAGCCTCACTCGTCTCCCCCTCTCCTCCCTGCTCCTCTTTGAGGCAGCAGCAAAGACTAGTTTTAGCTCTCAACAAGTTTTTAAAGTTTATCTTACCTTTTTTCACCTAGTTAATTTTTTTAAATTATTATTCATGCGTATTTTACTAATCACTCCTCTTTCAAATGGAAATATGTGTTTACATAAATGGTGACCAAACCGTTTGAGACCCACTGAGAAAACTCAGACTAAGTTAACTATCTAAACACTCAGAGTCCTTTACCTCACCTGAGCTGTAGTTATCAGCCTCTCAGTCTGACAGGAGAGGACTCTCCTCCACCTTGTTGACAGTCAGCTCATTATATCCATTAGCGCCGCTAGCTAGCACCAGATGCTAACAACAACAATACACGTAACCGGTGCGCGCGCTTTCTCTCTCGCACGCTCGCGCCCGCCACACATACACACCCTCCCGAGCTTGAATGAGAGACCAATCGAGGGCTTTAGTGTATGATCTGTATGAAAGTGGCCATGTCGGCAGGCCACATCATGTAGACAGCCAGTCACCTAGTTAATTTTTTTAAATTATTATTCATGCATATTTTACTAATCACTCCCCCTTCAAATGGAAATATGTGTTTACATAAATGGTGACCAAAGCGTTTGAGTCCCACTGAGATAACTCAGACTAAGTTAACTATCTTACACTCAAGAGTCCTTTACCTTACCTGAGCTGTAGTTATCAGTCTCTCAGTCTGACAGGAGAGGACTCTCCTCCACCTTGTTGACAGTCAGCTCATTATATCCATTAGCGCCGCTCCCTAGCACCAGATGCTAACAACAACAAAACACGTAACCAGTGCGCGCGCTTTCTCTCTCGCACGCTCGCGCCCGCCACACATACACACCCTCCCGAGCTTGAATGAGAGACCAATCGAGGGCTTTAGTGTATGATCTGTATGAAAGTGGCCATGTCGGCAGGCCACATCATGTAGACAGCCAGTCACCCTCTGTGAGGCAGAGTCAGACCCACATTTGCGCAGCGTTGCGTTCACAATACATACATACAAAAACAAATCCTCAGGCCAGCAGGCCACTTAACAGGCCAGGCCATCGGGAAACCTCCCGGTCCTCCCGATGGCCAGTCCGGGCCTGGGGGCATGTGTTGACTAAACATGGCCAACTCACCAGAGTTTTATGGATGATGATTGGCTCATGAAAGACTGTCCACACGACCGCTTCGTTGCAGTTTGGGGTGGTCAGCGAGCCCATGTAACGGTAGAACTTTGTGAGGTCCACATCTTTAATCAGGTCATCGATAGAGATGTCATGTTCCATATCAATCTCGGTGTCTGGGGAAAGATGTTTGAAACACAAAAGGCTGTCATGTGGATTTAAATGCTCCAACAGTGTCCTTGGTGTGGTGCCATAAAATGATATTTATTTTAAAAAATGGCATTATCTGACGATGTAACAACAAAGATTAATGGTATTAAAAACAACTCTAACTTGACCTTATAATTGTAAAGTACAGTTCAAGGACAACACCAACCAGTTCAAGTACAACACTAAAGCATGATTATTTATTTTTGTATCAATACAATACAAAAGACGACATTAAAGATAGTTGTGAAACTTTCATTTGCAGGATTTGTTCCTTAAAATATTTCAAGCAGGGTTGACAATTATTTGAATGGTTGTTTAAAACCTCTTAAGCCCGGCCCCCGATACCGGGGGGAAAAACGCGTCACTGCAGGAGACAGCGTCTGAGGGCTTCTTAATATTTAAAAACCTATGAATGTCTTATACTCAAATAACGGGAAAAAACTCAGCTACCTGACGATATGAGCCATTTTTACCGAAACAAAACACAAGTCTCACAAGAAGCGTTAGCATTAGCCCTTAGTGAAAACAGGCTGATGCTACTTCCGGTGCTAACTAGCAAAAACGATCTTTAAAACTTAATATGTTCTGCACAAACTACATATCAGCTGAAAGCTGATACTCCACAGATTATTTTGATATAAGTATCATCACGGTAGGACACAAACTCACTGAGCTAGCAGCCCGAACAGAGCAAGAAAACAACAACAGTGTTCTAAACCATACAAATAATTATGTCTTACCGTTGCTGTTTTGTGATCAAAAGTCGTGTTCAAGGGAATAAAAACGCTGCTCAAGGTTAATCCAATGTCTCTTAGTCACTTTAGAATTGTTCCTGATAATCCATCATTACATTCATGGCCGCAGAATAGGTATAACGTTTTGGAGTCCGGGGTTTAGGCTTTCTCACGTGCTGTTTATGCAAGCCTCTCTCTCCTTGACGTAAGTGTAAAGCGGGATTTACTAACTCCCCCTCGATTCTATTGGCTCCAAAGTTTCAAAAAAGGTGTCAATCACCCAAATCGACCAATGGGTTCCAGAGATAGGATCCTGCGTAGTATGAATAATGCCAGCAGCGGCTGCTTTACGCACAGACGTAGCAGAAGCAGCCGCACAACCGCTCCAGCACAGTAGCAACGAACACAGCGACGCGACAACACATTAATCTGATTACAATTTTTAATCGTTTGACAGCCCTAATATATATACTGTTATTCCACACACGCCAAATGGATGCTGTTTTGTAGTTCTACAGACATTGACTATTAGCAGTTTATAAATAAAGCTGTATTGTATATCAGTCTATATATATATATATATATATACTATAGCGTGTGTGAAATAACAGTATATATATTAGGGCTGTCAAACGATTACAATTTTTAATCAGATTAATCACAGCTTACAAATTAATTAATCATGATTAATCACCATTCGAACTATGTCCAAAATGCCATTTATTTATGTATATTGTTGTGGGAATGGAAAGATAAATGAAAGAAGGCGGATATATCCATTTAACATACAGTATCTATGTTTATTATAACATTTTTCTGCGTGTCAAAATGAAAGACAACCCACACACCTATCAATCATCAAACCGTGGGGTCTTAATTCATTACGTGTTGATTTCTATCAACGGGGGAGTACTTCAGGAAAGTCGACAGAGGCAGTGCTTGAATTGGAATGAAAAAGGTGCCAGTACTCTAAAATCAGCAACTTTTTCAAGTCAATTTTATATATACAGCCCACAAACAAGAATTTGGCTACTATAATGCTGGTGGGTTTGTCTCTTTACTACTGTATATTTTAGAAAGGTTCACTGTACTTAACATTTTTTATGATAGGCAGCGGATATGGCTAAAGCGCAGTAAGGTCAATATTAACTGAAAATATAGCAATCAAAGTCTAGATCTTCTGCTGAAGACACATGAAGCAGAGACCTTTCAGGTGAGAGCCCCTCTGGTGGTGTTCAACATTAATGACAAGGAAACAAAGCTCTGGTCAGAAGCATTTTTTATAAAAAGCTTTAACAAAATTAAGTATTTCTGTACATTTTGAATGCAATCTAACTTTCCAACTCAGAAAACGAAAAACGAAAAAGTGCCAAAAGTCTTCTCACATGGCTGAGCTGCTTTGCAATATACTTCACCACTGAAGAATACAAATATGTATAAAGTAAACTATGATGCAATCTAACTTTCCAACTCAGAAAAATGATAAAGAGCATGAACAAAGAACATGTAAAAACAAATGCAAAATTTGCACAATCTAAAATGAGAAACTGTAACTGCAAGTAACAAAGTCTGAGCCATGGTAAAGAGTTACATTGAACACCAAGCTGATCAGATAACTCCCTGGTTGGTCTGAAGTCCTTCTATCTCCAGGATCTGTACAAATCGGCACATTATGCCAAAAGTCTTCTCACTGGGTGAGCTGCTTTGCAATATACTTCACATTGTTAGAAAAGGCTCCAGAAGGCCTTGTGGACATCAGTATCAGGGGCTGGAGCTGGACAGGCTCTTTCATCAGCACTTCTCCTTCCCTTTGCCAGCCAGGACCTCACATACTGTTCCGGATTGAACAGTCCTAGTGATGGTCCATTACATTTAATGAAAACCAGGCTGGACAGTCGGCTGACAGAGAGAGCATTCCTTTTTGCAGTAAGGATATCGTTCATGCAGCTGAATGCCCGCTCACACTCACTAGTGGAGACAGCGATGGTTCGGACTGCTTTCAGTAGAGGCTCCATGGCAGCAGGTGTACGGGATGCCCTGGTTTCCTTGTATTCGCGAAAGCCCTGAACAGTCTCTCTTCTGTCCACTTTCAGCACTTCGCACAAACGTAGCACCTCTACGTCCCCATACTGTACGTCTAACTCCTCTTCAGGCCAACTTCCAGGATGGATAACTTTCATGTCCTGGATTAGCTGATTGTCCCGGGCCTCCCGGCCATGTAATGGGATTTCTCTTGTGCTGACATGAGAGGAGGTTGTGGAAGTCATTCTGTGTCTCAGATTCTCTACCATACTGCGGAAAAAACTGACCTGCATGAATCTGTACAAGCCTGCCATTCTCACGCAGGGCAACACCCTTGAAGGACTTCTCAGCTAGAGCTGTATGAACTGTAGTCATGTGTGGGCCAGGCATGGTGACCATGGATTCAAAAACTCGTATTTCTCGAGTTAAGAGCCTATCTGCTGTAGGCAGTGTCATCTCTCTTTTTTGGAGTTGCCGAGAGAGGTCGCTGAGCTCTGTGAGCGCATCGTACATCAGTCCCAGATTGCTGACAAACGTTGCAGATGTGAGCACATCATCCAGGCCCTTGTACTTTGCTCTGTCTCTGGAATCCCTGCTCGTGTCGTTTGCAGCATTTGTGAAGTGATCATGAAGCACTCGGTAGTTTTCCCAGACTGCTCTGACGCTCCTTTCACTTGAAGCCACCCAGCGGATGGACAAAACACGCCCTATCACCAGGAGACGCTGTCCGACTGCTTGCGCACACTGCGCTAACTGCCTCTGATTTTTGGGGGAGGCATGGAACAAGGAATAGAGTTTGTCAAAAAAGATCTGGAAATGATTGAGCCCTGAGACCTCCTTGACCACATCCCCAACTGCCAGCTCTAGACGATGATTGGAGCAGTGCCACACAAACAGGCTTGGGAATTTACTACACAACTGGGTAGCAACGCCTGTTCTCTTCCCTAGCATGACTGAAGCCCCATCACATGCAAAAGAAACGAAACACTGACCTAAAAAGTCCTCGTTAAAATCTCTTCCAAGACACTCCATTAACGCCTTTGTGATGTCATCAGCCGTTGTTCCATCCAACTCGATCAGCTCCCAAAAAAAACGTTTCGGGCTCAGCATCAGCTAATGCTGAGCGTAGACACACAACAAGCACCGTTTTACCACTAATAGTGGTAGATTCATCGACCAAAACACAGAGTTTTCTTTGGTTTTCTGTAATGTCTTTTGCCATTTTTTTCTTCAGCTCATGAGCTATGTGGTCGATGATTTCGCCACAGGTTTTATTGGAGTGCAAAACCCTGCCCACGTTCAGCCCATTCAGTTTCTGTACATTCAAATCAATTGGCATGTCTGTGAATGGCCGGCTATGTTTGCCAATTTTATATGCCGTTTCGAAAAACTCTGATAGTGGTGTCTAATTCAGATGTATGCATAGACTGCACTTGATGTTGAATAGTTTCACGTGAAGCAGATGTAAGGATGTCAGCAGCTTTTACATGGGCTTGTGATTCTTTATGTTCTTTGATTTTTTTTCTCAGGCTAGCTTGTTGTTTGCCCTTGTCAACACCGAAATGAGACACTGCACACTCACCCCATTCAGTTGACAGTTTCAGTCCTTGTCCAGTGTGTATTCCCAAAGATTTGACATCTCTGCATATCCGACATCCTAGCTTCTTATCTTTAAGAAGGAGCCATGCATTGGTCTTGCAAAAATATTGCACCTGGTCCGTTGTCCAGCAGTCAGGTGCATCGCTTTGCCCGGTGTTGGTGGTGGCAGTGGCAGTTGCGCCAGCAGCAGCTAACGTTGAAGCTAACTCTGGAGGAGGCGGCGGAGCTAGTGCTAATGCTAATGCACTAGAACTTGGAGCAGGAGGATCAACCAAAGAAAGCTCCCCATCAGACACAATTTCCAACACAGGCACAGCATTCTCTGTATTTGAAGTTTCTTCCGGCGACAACCGCTGTCTTTTTGCACTTTTATTAATCCACGCTAACATTTTAGAAATGCTAATTTGTGACGTGACTTGCTTTCCTTCTCTCGGGGGCGTGCCTGCTCTGTTCTATCACTCTACATAGCCACCCACTGGGTGGGAGTTGCACTGCATAAACACAACACACGTGCATCTAGGTATGTAAATTGTAAAGCATTAAAACATGGTTTTACTAACAGTTTTCAGTATGTTGTTACTTCGGCATTATTATTATTATTATTATTTTGA